TTAGAATATATTTATAGGTTCATCAAGAGCATGAAATGTGCCAATAGATGATTAAATTTCCAACAAACTTATATTTTGTCAAGGTAGACTAAATATCACAACCAACTAGTTTCCCTTGAAGAATCTGTTGAACAAATTAACTACATTAGAAAGACAATGGTAGCACATTCCACTCTTAAATCATCTAGGTATTTAGCAAACTGCAAATCCCTATGCTCGATTGCATTAACCTGCACTTATTTATGTATGCTACTTTTAGAGACAACTTTTCTTTCCTTCATCCTATCATGAGCATGTTCACAAGTTATTACAGATGTTGTCAAATATAACACTGTACACCCTCTGTCTGAAAATGTAACCCCGTTGTGCGCAGTTGTAACCAAAAGGCGGTCATTATATACTCTTATATAAAAGATTAGTTTGTAAAAATTGCATGATTAATTGTTTCCTCCAAAAATTACATGATAAATTGGAATGCAGGACACAGGGACTTCACCATGTTAGTTGTCTAGTGTACCAAATTAGATGGTTGTACTATACCTAGCTCCGCCTATGTTAGCACTATCACTAACTTTTAAAACAATTACGAGCCTTAGTGCAATACACCAGTAAATGTCTATGCTTGAAAATGACATGATTGTTGCATGGAGAACTTAAAATACTTTATTGACCAATAAGCTTGTTGCCTCGCACATTAAAATGTATGTACTCGTGTAAACAGCAACATTACATGAAAGTCCAATGCTTTATAATCTCGCTGGTCCCATGGAAAATTTTCCCTGATTGGCACTAGCATCCACATATATTAACATATGCGCAGAGAGGACGGAAATGAGTAGCAACATGTGGCTCCAGGCCCAACTTGGTCTGTATGGAAACTTTTGTGGTGAAAAGGACTTGAGCGAGGAAATTCAGTACTGACTTAGAAAAAGGGAAGAAAGAAAAGGAAGGCAGTTGGACATCCGCTGACTTCCCTTGGCTCTCAAGCACCACATATCTTACTGACAATAAAAAATTCTTTTCCAAAAAGTGTATATACCAGTTCTTCAACATATCCATATATGAGTTCAACTACTCCCTCCGTTCACTTTTATAAGTCGCTTCAGACAATTGAAAATGAGCTAATTTGCACCTTGTCTGAAATGTCTTTAAGGTCTTATAAAAGTGAACAGAGGGAGTATTAAATTTCCATATCCAAATTCAAACATGTATGACATGTGCAAAACTAACAACTCCGGCCCGCTATTCAAAATTTGAAACCGCCATTATTTATCTATTTTGCAGGGAGAATCAAAATATTATTTGTACTAAGGGTCAAGAGTACAGTTTAGATGAAGGTCCTTGACTAAAATGTGTTCTCCCTTTTATCTGGCTTTAATTTCCAAGATGCGACATGTACATCACACACCTCTGTATCTACTAAGAGCATCTCCAGCCGTTGGCCCCCCAGGGCGCGCCTAAAATCGCCGCCTGGGGGTCAGCCGGCGTAAAAATTGGGTCCGGAGGCGAGTTGGTCCCCAGCCGCCGGCCCCAGGGACGCCCCCAGGCACGTTTGAAAATAAAATTTGTATAGCAAAACACGATAAATTACGGCGAAGCTCGGCGAAACACGATAAATTTCGACAAACTTGGGCATATATTAGACATGTTCGCCGGTTTTCATTACATAGAAAAATAGATAATAACTAAACTAAAAGAGAAACTGACTGAACGCCGAGTAGTCGCCGTCGTCGCCGCCATCGCCGCCGCCGTCGTCGGACTTCTCCTGCTTGACGCGGCCGTCCCTGGTGGACCCCTGACCGGCGTCGCCAACGTGGGCTGGTGGCGGCGGCGCGTCGTCGTCGTCGTTGTCGCAGATGACGACGACCCCTTCTTCGTCGCGGCCGCGTCGGCGCTCCGCGAAGCGGCGCAGGGCGGCGCACTGGCGCTCCTTCGCCTTCTCCAGGCGCTCCTTCTCCATCACTATGGAGTCCCTGCGCGCCCATTCCAGGGTCGCGTCATCGTCGTCGAGCTCTGTCTTCACCGGCGCGGCCGGCTCCTTCTTCGCCGGCGTGAGCCCCGGCTCCGTCTTCACCGGCGCGAGCCCCGGCTCCGTCTTTGACTTGACGAAGCGCGGAGGAGGAGCCGACGAGGAGGCGCGCCGGCCGCCCTCGTTGATGACGATGCCGGCGCTGCGAGTGCGCCGGCCGAGCGGCGTCTCTGCCGCGGGCTCGGCCTTGACGCCGAGCAGGGCCGAAGCACCAGAGGAGTGAGAGAAAGAGCGCGAGGAGGAAGAAGAGGAGGAGGACCCGAACCTCCTTGGCGCCCATGGCCCGAAGCGTCGGTGGTGCGGCGGGGCGGCCGTCCTCGCCGGGTACGCCAACGGCAGGTTGTTGCCGCCCTCGAGGTGCGTCAGCACGCCCTCGAGTGTGCGGCCGGGGACGCCCCACCACAGGTGGCGCCCCTCGCTGTTCTTCTGGTCGCCGACCACCGACGCATCGTTGGTGGACGCCAACCGCTGCCGCTGGCGGCGCTCGAAGTACGCCGTCCAAGCCGTGTGGTTGTCGGCGGCGTCATGGGGCTCGGGAGAGGTAGAGAGGGAGAGGGAGGGGCTGGGCGGCGGCGCTCGGGAGAGGTAGAGGGAGGGGCTGGGCGGCGGCGAGGGGCGGGGCTGGTATGGGCACAGGCGAGTGAGGCCACCGGCTATATAGCCGCGCCGCGCCCGTGTGAACGCGTGCGAGGGAGGGGAGGCGTCGGCTCGCCGTCACGTGACGCGCCGTCCGTGAGGAATCAATGGTAAGGCTGACCGGCGGCAGCCTTGCCATTGATTCCCCGCGGAAACCGAGGCCGTTGGGGGAAGACGAGGCGCCGTGTCGCTGATGCGGCTGCCCCGCGGCTTTTTCGCGCCAAAACAGCTCGCCCCGGCGCCCCCGGGCGCCCCCGAGCGTGCCGGGTTCGGACTGAGTCCGCCGGCACTGTTTTCGGCCCAGGCCGGCGAAAATCGGGCTCCTAGGGACGCGACTGGACCGTTTTTCGGCGCCGGCGCGAGAAAATAGCCTGGGGAGGCCTTCCTGGGACGCAGCTGGAGATGCTCTAAGCTCCCGGAGCTTTCTTTCTGGAAAATATGTCCAATACCCGTTATTAGCAGTCCCAGAGTTGTAGTTGCTGGTCTGCACAAACTTCCCTCTCAACCTCTCAGTTTTATGGTAGGCCTTGCTTTGTTTAACACAGCAGCATTGTCCTTGTGAGTTCGAAACTAATTGAATAGTGATACTACATCCGTATATAGACAAATCTAAAACAAGTGGTATGAATCGAAGGGAGTAGCTGATCTCTCAGTTGTATGCTCGGAGTCGGAGGCTTGCATATCCATTTGCGGTCAGAGCTCGAGCCCGATTTCACTAATCCAGCAAGAGCATGAGTAAAATCAAAATCACAGCTTCTTATTCTTATGCAGTTATGCTTTCCGTGAAAAAAATTAACAAAATCTTATGCAGTTCTGCAGTGTGCATACATAAAGTGATGTTGTTGTAAACAAAACAAAGTTGAGGGCCTGACATGAGACAAGGGAGGGACACAGCGACTCAAGACTGTCGCCCCACGGTCATGAACACTTGATGGAAAACGAGAGAAAACCGAACTGGCCCGACCGCTTAATTAATTGATTAGGTGCAAGTACTTATCCTTCCTTGATCAAATGTACATGGCTACATATGCTCAAAAAAAAAATGTACATGGCTACATGCCTGCTTTCTTTCTGCTCGCCAAACACAACAATCTATTTTCTGACATATAGTACGTTTCGATCATCCAAATAGTACGTTTCGATCATCCATTTTTAAACTTGATCTCACACACACACACATGTTCAGCATTGCATTACATTGTGGTTTAATTATATCCATGTTTCAACTATTGGATGAATCACTAATGGTGTTGCTAATCGCATGCTCACTCGTACTACAGTACTAGTAGATGAGTAGTCTACTTCAGAGCACATCCTGAATAAATAGGCCAAACAGCAGCAGCAGAGCAGAGACGAGCCGAGCAGAGCAATCTTCTTCTTCTTCGTTCTCTCTTCAATGGCCAAGATCCAGCCCCTCCCTGCGGCCACCTCGCCGTCGTCCTCCGATGATCAGCGGCAGGGCCAGCAGGCGTACACGGTGTGGATGAAGTCGCTGGTGTTCAACGGCAACGGCTGCGCGGTGTACGGCCCCGACGGCGCAGTCGCCTTCCGCGTCGACAACTACGGCTGCAGGGGCGGCCGCGAGGTCCTCCTCATGGACCGCGCCGGCAACGCCCTCATCACGATCAGGCGCAAGGGCTTCGGCATGTTCACGAGGTGGGAGGTCCGCCGGTGCGCCCACAACGGCCACCAGGACGAGGAAGCGACGCCGTGGTTCAGCGTGCGGCGGGCCGAGAAGGGCGGGGCCGCCGTGGCGATGCACGGCGGCGCGAGGACGTGCTACAGGATCGACGGGTGCTCCGGCGCGCGCAAGCCCGAGTACAGAGTCCGCGGCGTGGATGGCTCGGTCATGGCGGAGGTGGCGCGGAAGCAGACGTCGGCCGGGGTGGTGCTGGGGGAGGACGTGCTGACGCTTACGGTGGCGCCGGAGGTGGATCACCTGCTCGCCCTGGGCTTGGTCGTCGTGCGTGGCCTCATCAACCGCTCCTTGTGAATTGTGATGCATGGATGGATGAAATGACAATCCTCTTCTTCTGGTTCAATTCTCTAGGTAGGTGGTTCGTGCTACTATTTTCTTCAGACGAACAATTTAGGAAGCTTTTGCCCAAGCCGAGGACATGGTGACTCTTTTTGGTGTATGCTTTTTGACCCTTTCTCAAAGGGTTTTTCAATACCATGGTTGTAACAGAGAGAAGCAAAGTTCGTCATTTTTTTCTTTGCGGGGTAGCAAAATTCTTCATTATTTGTACTACCTCCGTTTTAAAATATATGATACCATGGTTGTACCAAAACGTCATATATTTTGGAACAGAAGTAGTATAGCAACATAATTGGTTTGATGCCAATGTTGGCAAATACCAAATGTTGACTAATGATTGATTGGTTACCAATTGTTTTTGCCAATCTCACCAAAAAGTTGCCAACTTTTGGTAATTTTGATTTTGGCAAATGTTGACATCAAAATTAGGCTATAAATCTTTGGGTGCCTACTCCCTCTGTATCTAAATATAGGTCTTATGTTTAGATACAGAGGAGTAATAGATTGTACTGTGGTGTTTATTTTGGTCTTCGTTCATGACTTAGAAGGCACAAGCAAGATGTTATGTTTCTCCGTCAAATCGTGGCCCTTTGAAAATCCTAGTCGGATAATATACATCCCTCTGGTTACCCCATCACACACCCAAAAGTGCATGCACTTTTTCTGTTGAGATCAAAAGGTGCATGATTCCACAAGCACACAATGTTAGCATACGAAACTCCAACAAAAGACTTGATGGTCCTTCACAGAATAAACTGAGAAATCTTTTAGAGTACTGAATTTAGTCGCCACCTCGCTGGCCTCTTGGAGGCTGACACACACAAAAATGTTACCCAGTCACTGTCACTTGGAGGCGCAGCGAGCAACTATCGCATTGAAAACGGCTCGCACGAGAAAGTTCAATAGGACACATGGCAACTTCAACGCAAAGAAGAAATAGGAGTGCACATCAACATCAGCCTACTAAAACGACGTACTCCCTACGTCCACGAATAAGTGTACATCTAGCTTTTATTCTAAGTTAAAGTTTTAAAATTTTGACCAACTTTATAAAAAATAGTAGTAACATATATGGCATCAAATTGGTATATTATCAAAGTACATTTCAAAACAGATCTAGTGATACTAATTTAGTGCCATAAATGCTTCTACTTTTTCCTAGAAAGTTGGTCAAAGTTTTAAAACTTTGACTTAAGACAAAAGCTAGATGTACACTTATTCGCGGACGGAGGGAGTATGTGCCAACATAATTAACCCAAGTCAATTTATCGAGGAAAACGAAGTACAGAGTGTATGCGGAGACGGCGAGGGAGATAGCTGCCAGAAAAGAAAATTAAAGGCGGCTTGAAAGGAGCAGGCCATCTCTATCCCTCCCTCCCAAGGTTGGAATAATTCGCCAGCTGGTCGGGATCCGATGTACGCGACAACTTGAGCCTATCGGCGCAGAAGAAGAAGAAGAACTCGAGCCCATGGCGGTGGCCTGTCTTTTGTCAAACAAGGTTAAATTCCACAACCAACTAGTTTAGCATGAAGAATCCATGGAACAAATTAACTACATTGGAAAGACACTGGTAGCAAATTACACTTTGAAATCATCTAGGTGTTTGCGAAATTGTAAATCCCCAGGATCAATTGCATGAACTACGCTTTTGTTTGTATGCTACTCTGAAACCTGTATTTCCTTCACCCTATCACGAGCTAAATTCAGAAACTAGTATAGATGTTGCCAAAACTGATACACATTGTCAAAATTTCAACTATACTGTAATTTTTGGTGGTATAGTCAGTGCATAGTAGTTTTTGTTCGTTAAATGATTGATTTTAGACAATTTAAAATGCTACGCCGGCAACCTATAGGAAAATTGGTATATTTTGGGGGAAAGGAAAAAAAAGCATGTGCGTACGTGTCTGCGTAGCAGAGAGTAGAGCTCGTTGTCTGTGTCTCCACTCGCGCGTCGTCAGCTCTGATGGATGGCCGGACCTCATGGTCGGTGCCCGTAGGACAAGCAGGCACTTACGGCGAGTCAACATGGGACGAGGAGGAGGGTGCGTGCGAGATGTCGACGTGCATTGGCTGCTCCCTGTCATGTGCAACTGCCCTACCAACTACCAATGCTAAACCTTTTATTAGGGAAACTACCAATGCTAAACCTAGCGGCCTGCTCGTGCAAGGACGGATCCGGGAGCAACTAGTTAACGAGCGCTCCTTCGGAAGCCTCGCAACGATCAACGCCACTTGGCGCGCTCTCGGTCATTCGCCACGTGTCATGCTCTGGACGCTTTCTCTAGACTTTGTTTTTTTATTTTTCCGCACGCGTTTTCGGCTTTTTAGACGGGTTTTTTTTGGTTTTTGTGATGTTTTTGGTTTTCCCCCGGTCTTCCTTGGCTTTTCGATCAAAAAAAAATTTGGAAAAAAATTTTTAAGGCGTAAAAAAAACGTGAGAGGCACGCTTGTGCTTTAGCGAGAGTCACGGCCGTGCCTTTCGGAAACGAAAAAAAAACGTGTTTTCTGGTTTTTTTTTCTTTTGTGCGAGTCATGGTTTTGCTTCCGCGAGAGGCACAGTTGTGCTTTCGCGAGAGTCACGGCTGTGCCTCTCGGAAGGGAAAAATAAAACACATTTTCTGTTTTTTTATTTCGCGAGAGTCACGGTTTTGCTTCCGCGAGAGGCACGGTTGTGCTTTCGTGAGAGTCACGGCCGTGCCTCTCAGAAACGGAAAAAAAGACGCGTTTTCTGTTTTTTTTCGTGAGAGTCACGGTTTTGTTTCCGCGACAGGCACGGTTGTGCTTTCACGAGAGTCACGGCCGTGCCTCTCGGAAACGGAAAAAAAGACGCGTTTTTTGTTTCTTTTTCCTTCCACAAGAGTCACGGTTTTGCTTTCACGAGAGGTACGGGTGTGATTTCGCGAGAGGCACGGGTGTGCCTCTTTCGGAAAGGGAAAAAACCATACTCCCGGTTCGGTTTTTTCGCCTGGTTTTTTTCGTCCGGTTTTTTTCATGAAAAAAAGTTCGTCGAAACCTATCAACATGGGATCTAGTTTTAAAGATCTCGACGCGAGGAATCCAATGGTGAAAACGGTTCGAGATTTGGACGCACGGTTTAAAAGATAAAGCGTTTTAAATAAACGAATCTACGAAAAAAGGGAAAACTCCCCGCTTGCGACAAGTGGCGCGCTGCATATGCGCCACTTGTCGCGACCTGGGAAAGTGGCGTGTTCTTTGCAACGAATACTCCTTAATTAGTTATTTCGGACGGATACTTCAGGATTGAACCGGTCGTGTGCCCTATATCACGCATTCGGCGAGTCTGGTTTTCGACTTGCTGAAGGGGGGAGCAAGATGGGCAGTCCCACGCGCGCGGGAGGCCACAACCTCTTTCTTCTGTTTTTTTATGTTTCATGTTTCCGTCTTTTACTTTATTTTTGCACTTTTCTTTATGCTTTAAAATATTCTAAATATATGTGTTATAAAAAACACTCTAAAAACCTTTAAAAAATATTGAACAATTATTTGAAAAATGATAATCAAGCATTCAGAAAAATGTTGGACGTGTATAGAAAAATTGTTGATCATGTATTAAAAAAATGATGAAGTGTTTTTATCATGTATATAAAAATGTTAATGAAGCATTTAGAAAGATGTTGAACAAGTATTTGAAAAAAAATATCAAGCATTTGGGAAATGAAAAATGTGGACCATCTATTAAAAAATGATGATTTTTTTATGATCTATATAAAAATGTTAATCAAGCATTTGAAAAAATGTTGAACAAGTATTTGATAAAGTTAATCAGGTATTTGGAAAATGATAAATGTGTATAGAATTTTTTTAACGATGTAAAAATGATGAAAAATAATAATCATGTATATAAAAATGTTAATCAAGCATTTGAAAAAAAATGAAAAAGTTTTTGAAAAATGTTAATCAAGCATTTGGAAAATGTTAAATCTGTATAGAATTTCTTGTTCACTATGTATGAAAATTTTGTTAATCTTTTTATATGAAAATTTTGTTAATTAAGCATTTAAGGAAATGTATAGAAAAAATGCTACTCTTGTATGTCAATCTAGCATTTGAAAAATATTAAAAATGTGTATACAAAAAATGTCGATCATGAATTAAAAAATTGTTAATCCTTATATATGAACACTGTTAATCAAGCATTTTAAGAAAATGTATAAAAAATATTGATGATGTATTCAAAAAATGCTTGTCTTGAATTTTAGAAATGTTGGTCAAGCATTTAGAAATTGTAAAAAATCCGTATACAAAAGTTGACAATGTATTTAAAAAATTAAATATGTATTTATAAAAATGTTGTTAATATATTAAAAAATGTAGAATAAATCAAAAAATAAATAAAATTAAACCAAATTAAATGTTAAACAGAAGAAACTTATGCAAAAAGAATGAAGAAACAATAAATCAAAGAAGAAGAAGGGAAAGATACAAAAGGAAATGAAAAAGAAAAAACTGAGAAAACTGAAAAAATAAGAAAACCAGAGAAGAAACAAAAAAATGAAGGAAAACAAACAAATGAAGCAGAGTCGAACTAGCGAACCGATCCACCGCTCACGAGCGAACTTGGCGTGGCAGCAATCGAAAAAAAATGGGCCGGCCGAGCTGCTACAGGATATGAAAAATCCTTAAGCAAGAGCAGTTAGCGTCTCGCCTAATGCGAGACATAACTCTCACGTCGTGTAAAGGGGATGAGGGTCTGCAGCCTCCAGCCTGCATGTGGTGGACTGGGCTGCGAAGCATTGGTAAAAGAAAATGCAAAAACCTGGACGAGCCACAACCCAGTTCAACCCCAATTAAGGCCTCTTTTAGTTCATAGGATAGAATTATCATAGGAATAGGAATTTTGTAGGAAATAAGACGTCATGTATCTCAAATTCTATGAGTAGGAATAGGAAACGAGATGTCATTTGGTTGACATCAAAGGAATTTTTCCATTGAGTCTAGGCTCATTTTTATTTTCCTATGAAATGTGAAGGATAGGAACCAATCCTATGTAGAAATAGGAATCTATTTCTATGAACCAAAGGTCTCTAAAGAAAAAAAAATCCTATAAAAATCCTATCCTCTAAAATTCCTATGAAATTCCTCCAAACCAAAGGAGGCCTAAGCTTTGCCCCTCCTTATGGGATACGGTGAGTGAGTTTGTACCTTATAGAGATGAGTGTACATGAGCATCTATGATGGTACTACGTACAAAATAAAAGTTGGCTGAATTTATAATTTGGGTAAATCTATTTCGTGAACGAAGAAGAAACAAAGTTGAAGGGGAAGAAAAGAAAGCCGGTGGGTCCTAATCTAATTCCCAGTGACCACTTACTGGGCACTGGGATTACCGGTATGCAAACTCTTTCTGAGATCTTCTTTTAGCCTAAGCAGATACTGCACTGAACCAAAGACGGTGTCTTTCTTATCGCCATGCACCAGGTTGTTCCTCAGATTCCACGCCCACCAAAGGACCAACAGAATGTTATTTCTAACATTCTTTGTTTGAGACATCAATAGCATCTGAAGTCAATCCACTCCAGTATATCTGAGATCAGACTCCCTAGGCAATTCCCAATAGTTTCTCGTTGCATGCCTTAGCGCCCAGCTTCTTGTGCAGGTGATAATGGCATGGAATTCGTCTTTTTTCTCCATCCCACAGATTTCACACACATTGTCATCCACTATGGTTCGTCTGAATGTGTTATGCTTTGTGGGCAGGGAATTAGTGGCCACTCTCCAACCGAAAAATCTTGACCTTTTTCGGAATATCTGCCTTCCAAATAACATCCCAAATGATGCGGTCACCCGGCTCGCTTGAAGAACTTGTCGCCCTCTCTGTTTTATTTCTTTGGATCGTGTCTGCAAGTTTATAGGCACTCTTGACTGTAAAAGTTCCAGATTTTTCGTAATGCCATGCTACACAATCCTCCACATCCTCTCTTGGAATTCTTAACTTGCAAATCTCATCCGCATCGAACTCATGGAAAATTTGTTTCACTAGTTCCATCTTCCACTCCTTTGTTACCGGGTCAATCAGTTGATTGACCCATCGGAGTCTTGACCTCCATATGAAAGCAGCAACTTTTAGTTCTTCTTTCCTCGTGATCCATTGATCTTTTGTTATTTGTATGCTTCTTTCATTTTCTATACGCCAAATCAGACCATTTTTCAACAGTTCGAGTCCAAACTCAATCCCCCTCATGCAGGAGAGGCATCTGATGAGAAAACCGTGTCGATGAGTTTTCCATTGGGGTAGTATTTAGACTTTAGTACTCTTGCGCATAGACTCTCTGGTTTAGTAAGCAGCCTCCACCCTTGCCTTGCCAGAAGGGCCAGCCTCATAAAACTGTTGCGCGAGCATATTCATTGATTTGATTTTCTTTTAACACAGCATATTGATTGATAACCACTTTAGCTGGAACTATATTGAGTTTTTTCTGACTGCAAATAGACTTTATTTCTCAAATAATAGACATGTCATTTACAAGCAGATGAGAAATAAAATCAGGGATCTCATCATCCCAAGAACTAGAAGATCTAGTAGTAAAAGAGTTCTTTGCTAATTCATCTGCCACCTGATTGGCCTCTCTATAGCAATGTCTGAAGGATATGGACGCAAAGTCCATCATAAGTTGTTTACACTCTGTGATGATAGCTACCTCCGGGCCTAAATAATCATCAACTTGGTTCAGCGAGTCCACTGCGAACGAACAATCTGATTCAATTTCTATGTTGTTGCATCCAATGTGAATTGCCAAGTATATCCCGTTTCTGATGGTAGTTAGCTCAGTTGAGTCAACTCCACTGATGTTTGGAACAAACCAACTTGCTGCAGCAATAAAATCACCCGGTAGTCCCGAGCCACAGCACCACAAGCACCTGAAAGTGTTTCATACTGAAAGGAAGCATCAACATTTATCTTCACGATCCCATATCCTGGTTTCCTCCACATGTGGTCGTTCTTACATATTGGTCCTTTGGGTATAGTTGACCTGAGGAAATTTGTCGCCAAAACCTTGATGGCTAGTGCAGTTTTTTCCGGCGTTTGGACTTTGACTCCCTTTACTATCTGTCGGCGCTGCCACCATATATACCATGCTGCTACAACAGCAAGCTCCGCCGTTGGTACCTCCGCATCATTGCCCTAAAGCTTTGATAAATTTTCCATTGTAATAGATCCTGATCTGTCCTCGGCGACAGCTTTCCGTATGACTTGTAGCAAGCCCAGCCGCTCCCAAACATCCGTCGCTCGTCGGCACCTAAATAAGCAGTGTTGAATGTCTTCTGCTCCGACTAAACAAACTGGACATTGAGCTGAGCATGGGATGTGTCGTCGGCTTGCTAATACACCAAAGCATGGGAGGGCGCCATGCAAAACTTTCCATGCAAAATGTTTTATCTTCCATGGTATTTTCAGCTTCCACATATCCTTCCAAACTGAGTTTATATTTTCTGTACCTTGCCCATCAGCTCGCACCCACTGTGCCCCATGTTGATGTTCAAACTCCTTATGATAAGCCGATCGCACGGAAAACGTGCCTGATCGTGTATAGTTCCAAGCCACAAAGTCTTCCGTCAAGTGATAATTCAAGGGGATTTGTAATATTCTATGAACATCAAGAGGAGAGGACACATCATGAATTAGATCCTCATCCCACTGGCCTGTGTACGGATTTATTAACTCATCAACCTTTGAAAGCATTGTTGCCTCCTATTCGTGATTACTTTCCTTGTGACACTTGATGGAATCCATGGATCATGCCAGATATCAATTTGAGCTCCACTTCCAACACGCCAAATGCAACCCCGCTTAAAAGTCTGAATACCCGCGACAATACTCTGCCAAGTATAAGAAGAGCCTTTTTTTGGTCCAGCTTTCAATATGTCACCATCTGGGTAATATTTTGCCCTCGGAACTTGCGCACACAAAGAATTCGGGTTTTGGATTAGTCGCCAACACTGTTTTGCTAACATAGCAAGATTAAAACTGTGCAAGTCTCTAAAACCCAATCCCCCTTCCTTCTTCGGATACACAACCTCCACCACGCAAACCAATGCATTTTCTTTTTTCCCTCATTGTCACCCCACCAGAACCCAGCAATTTCATCAGTGATAGACTTACAGATTCCTTTAGGCAATTTAAAAACTGACATTGCATAAGAAGGTATTGCTTGGGCTACCGACTTTACCAGTACCTCTTTACCTTGCATCGAGAGTGTTTTCTCCTTCCACCCTTTCAACCTCTAGCAAACTCTATCCATAAGTGCTGGAAACAGTCAGTTTTGTCGACTCCCACCATTGTAGGGAGACCCAAGTATGTGTCGGATAGAGCTTCTGTCTCAATATTTAATTCTGTACACACATTCTCCCTGGTATTGACATTAGTATTAGGACTAAAAAATATACTCGATTTAGCATTACTAACTAGTTGCCCAGAACTAGCACAATATGTGTCAAGAATCCTTTTGAGTGTACTTGCATTATGTGAGTCCGCCTTCATTAGGATCAAGGAGTCATCTGCAAACAGTAAATGTGAGATATGGGGAGCATTTCTACAAACACGGACCCCTTCCAGACCTCCAATTTCCTGTTCATGAGCTAATAAGCTTGAAAAACCCTCAGAGCACAAGAGAAATAAATAAGGTGATAATGGGTCGCCCTGCCTGAGCCCTCTTGTGGGAGCGAATTCTTCAGTTTCTGTATTATTGAACCGGACCCTATAGCTTACTGAAGATACACACTCCATGATAAGCTCCACCCAATGTGCATGAAATCCCATCCGCAACATTATTTTTTTCCAAGAAGCCCCATCAACACAGTCGTAGGCTTTGTTCATGTCCAGCTTCACGGCACAAAATCCATTTGATCCATGTGTTTTTTTCTTGATTGCATGAAAACACTCATAAGCTACCAACACATTATCAGTAATAAGTCTGCCTGGGACGAAAGCACTTTGTGTTGGAGATATAATTTCAGGAAGGATTCGTTTTAGTCTGTTTGCAAACATTTTTGAAATTATTTTATAAACCACATTGCAAAGACTGATTGGCCTGTATTGCGTAATTACCTCTGGACTATTGACCTTGGGAATTAGCACTACATTTGTTGAATTCCATCCTGAAGGGATCTTCCTTTTATTTATAGCATTGAGCACTTCATCAGTCAACTCGTCGCCTACAATGTGTCAAAATCTTTTAAAAAAGATAGCATGAAGTCCGTCCGGGCCAGGAGCCTTCAAATCTCCTATTTGAAATAAAGCTTGGCGAACATCCTCCCTCGTGTACTCAGCCAAAAGCATATTATTCATATCGACGATCACCACCCAAAAGCATATTATTCATATCGACGATCACCACGGGTTTTACAGAGTTCAGCAATCCTTAGTCCACCACACCCATATCGGATGTGAAGAGGCCGTGGAAGTAGTCCCTAATTAGGGACTTAAGATTATCATTATCATCCACCCAGGAATCACTACTACTCTTGAGCTTTTTTATTACTAAATATATTGAGTTGCCTATGTATGTTGGCCTGATCATTTCAGTAGAGGGGAAAGTGCTTTTGAACATGATGAGTCTATGCCGACTATGGGCAAAAGAACAGAACAGGTTTGGTGGACGACAGGAGCAGAGCAAAAGGAACACTCTTCCTCTACATCCAGCAGATTTCCCCACCGGCCGCGGCCGCCGGAAGCCACCGGAACCAGATACACCGCAGGCTCCGGGGAGGCGCATCTGCTCCGCCGCGCCCGCCGGCACGCCGCCGCCTGTGACTACTGACCCCCTTATAAACTTCCGTGAACCACCCACCCAACCCGAGCCGGATCAGAGAACCCATCCCCACACCACCACCACAGATGGCGTCCGACTCCGCCGCGACGGTCGACGGCAGCGCGCTGGCGGGGCGGGCGCTGGCGGCCGCCGGGGCGCGGCACATGTTCGGGGTGGTGGGCATCCCGGTGACCTCGCTGGCCTCCCGCGCCGCCGCCGCGGGCTGCCGCTTCCTCGCCTTCCGCAACGAGCAGTCCGCGGGGTACGCCGCCGCGGCCTACGGCTTCCTCACGGGCCGCCCCGGCCTGCTCCTCACCGTCTCCGGGCCCGGCTGCGTCCACGGCCTCGCCGGCCTCTCCCACGCCACCGCCAACGCCTGGCCGCTCCTCATGGTCTCCGGCTCCTGCGACCAGCGAGACGCCGGCCGGGGCGACTTCCAGGAGCTCGACCAGATCGCCGCCACCAAGCCCTTCGCCAAGCTCGCCGTCAAGGCCGCCGCCATCGCCGACATCCCCCGCCTCGTCTTCCAGGCCCTCGCCGCCACCGTCGCCGGCCGCCCCGGCGGCTGCTACCTCGACATCCCCTCCGACGTCCTCCACCAAACCCTCGCCGAAACTGAGGCGGCCTCCCTCATAGCGGAGGCCGTGGCCGCGGCCGGTTCCGCCGATCCGTCCCCGCCGAAACACAAGTCCCTGGACCAGGGCATCGTGGAGGCGGCCGAGCTGCTCCGGCGCGCGGAGCGGCCGCTGGTTGTGGTCGGGAAGGGCGCGGCGTACGCCCGCGCCGAGGAGGCGATCCAGAAGCTGGTGGACACCACCGGCATCCCCTTCCTTCCCACTCCCATGGGGAAGGGGGTCGTGCCGGATGTGCACCCACTCTCCTCCACCGCCGCGCGTTCCCTCGCCATTGGGCAGTGCGATGTGGCGCTCGTCGCCGGCGCGAGGCTCAACTGGTTGCTTCACTTCGGTGAGCCTCCCAAGTGGTCCAAGGATGTCAAGTTCATACTTGTGGACGTTTCTGAAGGTGAAATTGAGCTTCGGAAGCCCCAGGTCGGTCTGGTTGGGGATGCAAAGAGAGTCGTTGAGCTCCTCAACAGGGAGATCAAGGATCAGCCATTCTGCTTGGCGCGGTCGCACCCGTGGGTTGATGCAATCACCAAGAAGAGCAAGGATAATGTGCTTAAGATGGAGGCACAGCTTGTGAAGGATGTTGTGCCGTTCAATTTCATGACACCCATGCGGATCATTCGTGATGCGATCCTTGCCGAGGGGAGCCCTGCTCCAATAGTGGTCTCGGAAGGGGCCAATACCATGGATGTTGGCAGGGCTGTGCTTGTGCAGAATGAGCCAAGGACAAGACTGGATGCAGGGACATGGGGAACGATGGGTGTTGGGTTGGGGTACTGTGTTGCAGCAGCAGTGGCTGAGCCAGAACGGCTCGTAGTTGCTGTGGAGGGCGACTCTGGATTTGGTTTCAGTGCAATGGAGGTTGAGGTACGTGTAATGGCATCCGCTACTTGGTTTAATTTGCGCAAAAGTATTATTGCTACCTTGTTTGTTTCATGTTGTTATTTTCTTTTGCTATTATATCATGCTGTTGTGAGCTGAAATTGACATTTTTGGTTGAGCCAAACAAGGGTAGTAGATTGGGCACTTCATGCTATTGTCAATGAGCATTTCTACCGTGCTTAGAAGGTACCACAAGGTACTGGTACTTCCTAAGCAGAACTGAACAATGAAAAGTAGGTACAATTTCTTACTGGGTTACAGATGCCAAAAGAGAGGATCAACCACACATCTCACACAGCAACATAAATTAATCTTCAGAAGACATCTTTAACTCATTAACACAGAAACACAGACACTATACACCAGCATTCTATACTTTACAAACAGCCATAGGTAAAATTGAGTAGTGGGAGCAGTGGCAGGGGTGGATGAGCATGGATGGGAGGATGCACCCAAGCGGTTGGATCTGAAAAGGAGTACCTCGAGGTCAGTGCGGAGACAAGTTCCGGCTGGTGGTACCCTGTAATGTCGGATATGTGTTTGAGGTTGATACTGATGGCGATGAACCTGTGACGCTTGCGCAGCCGATGCTGCAGTTACTGCCGGCGGCCTGCTACACCTAGGCCGGACTTGGAGATGGAAGCAAAGCAGGGTTGAGAGGTTGTCCAGCTAGGGAAACTCATGGAGGAGGCGTGTGGGGGTTGACATTATGGTTGCCCGTTAGAGTTGTTAGAGGCATAGACGGGCTTCTTTTTCTTACTCATAAACAGTAGGGGAGGGTTTGCACGTGTGTGAAGTTTTTGCAAGTAGCCAGTGAGGGATAGGGTTGTACCCGGTAGTCTCTGCGATCAGAAAATGCCATGAAACATTGCTATTCTACCCTTATGACTTGGTACCTCCACCTTCACAGCGTCTTGGCATGTAGTACCAGAAGGTACCAAGCAATTATAGCCATTATATGGGGACACGATATGAACCGCTGAGCTGCCTTTCCAGGACAGTAGAAATGACCATTGTCAATAATTCAGACAATACTAGACACATCATCCAAGTACATCAACTCTCACAAGTATTATTGGTAACTATGATTTCTCGAACACACTCTTATCTATGACTTCATGGCAAAAAGGCTCAATTGGTACACAAAGATGAATTGCCATTTAAATAGTATATTTCACACATTAATTTCACAGTTTGATATGCCCCTTGCAAAATGTTGCACAAACTACACTTTTATCATTTCCGTAGTCTATGCTGTTTTTCCAACAAGTATGGTCCTTGAAATTGATTCTTAAAGCTGTGGTTTGGTAGTTTTGACAAAAAAAAATAGGTGCCTGAGGATTGTTCATGCTGGTGCATTTGTAAATACATGTCTTGAATGTAGAAAACCTGTTTTGGCAACTTACAGATATCACCAGCATTGTAAACACAAATGTGCTGTTGGGTGAGGATGAAAAAAGTCCTTAGGCTATTTAGTGGCGGGAAAAAAAAGCATCGAACATGCCTAAAAAGCACTAAGCAACGCCAGCATTGCCCAGCCACCTCTAGATTCACCAAATATCAGTAGAACAGAACTCCATTCCAGGGGTCTCCAGATGTTTCGCGATAGTGCCCAACTGCCCATAATCGTAGCAATCTTGCACACGAGAATAGCCTGGTTTGGATGACGAAAAGCTTTTTTATAAAATATAACGTCATTGTGGCACAACAAAATAACCCAACAAACTGCCACAGGTCCACACATGGTAGTAGAGTGAAGATTCCATCCTAGACCATCTAACCATTGCCCAAACAATGTGTGTTGCTAGTTGAAGGATTTAAATTGAAATCTATGCGCACTAACCCCCACATGAAGCGAGCAACGTGACAATCAAAGGAGGTGCTGGATAGCCTCATCATGTCCGAGCAACACGACTTCCTTCCTTGCCGGTTTCTTTTGAGCAAATTATCTTTGGTGAGAATTACCACTCGACCCAATTCCACAGGTGAGAGTGAGACAATAGTACATTGAATGGACAGTAAATTGTCCTTTCTGACCCCATGTGTGGCAATCAGGCCCATCAGATAATTGGACCTGTGCTACCAATTCATTCCATGGTACCAGTTAGAGAATCATTCTAGTGACTTATACATCATCAAACTTTTGGCTGTTACTCTTATCGGTTATATGTTTTTTCTTTGTTTGCCAGCTTCATTCAGATGGCCTTTGTTGTTTCTAACAGCCTTGTTTAGGTATCCTTCATGTGGGCCTTGCTTATTTTGTTTGTTGTGTGTGTTTGTGCCTGATAACTAGTCTGACCTTGAAGAAAATGGTTTTTCCTTGTAAATAAAATAGTTGTATGACACATCAAACATTTTTTTCCACTACGTTGGACCAAATACAGATCTCCTAACTATCTACAATCTTCTGTTTTTACTTTGCAGACCTTGGTGAGGTACCAGCTGCCCGTTGTCGTCATTGTGTTCAACAACAACGGTGTCTACGGTGGCGACAGAAGAGGCCCAGATGAGTTAACAGGCCCCTACAAAGATGACCCCGCGCCAACCTCCTTCGTTCCTGGGGCAGGTTACCACAAGATGATGGAAGCGTTCGGAGGAAAGGGTTATCTCGTCGAGACACCGGACGAGCTAAGATCTGCCCTCTCGGAGTCGTTCCACGCCAGGAAACCGGCGGTGATCAATGTCACCATTGACCCATATGCAGGCGCGGAGAGCGGCAGGATGCAGCACAAGAACTGAGTGCGCCCGCAGGTGCGATGTTGAAGGGTTCATTGCTCTGTATTGCAGCTGGCGTGTTGAAATCAAGATGGACACCCCGAGGAACTAATATCTGAACCTACTTGTCGCTGCCCCTGAAATAAGAAGCCCTACTGGCACTGGATAGTCTCGACTTCGCCGGTGGCGTGTGACTTTGTATATTGTGTTTGTGGACACTAGCAATTGATTGTATACTTGTATAATTCAAGTGTTAGCGGCAGAGTGCAACTGGGACTACTGCTGCGTATCGGTCGCGCAATTCTGTTGAGCTTTTCTGGAAGGTGCCCAATTTAGCGAAAATTGCTAATGAAGCCTGAATTTTTTTATGTTCCGAAAATTTCTGAAAAAATTACACACATACCTATGAATGTGTATACTACTTGCGTGTAAAGTTTCACGGCGACGTGAGCTACACTAAAATAACAAAATCATAATGTTTCTAGCTAATGAAGCCTGAAATTTTTTTATTTTCCAAAAATTTCTGAAAAAAAATACACACACACATACCTATCTATGAATGTACACTACTTGCGTGTAAAGTTTCACGGTGAAATACATTTTTTACGTGAGCTACACCAAAATAACAAAATCATAATGTTTCTAGCACATGTACTATTCACTATTAAGATATACTCCATGGACATGATTTTGTTTGGCCATGGGTTTTTTTTGCGAGCTCACACAAATGTATTTCATAATAAAAATTTACATACATCTATAAGTACTTATGTATGTATTTTTCTGCTTTTTAGAATAAAAAAATGAATTTTAAATTATGAAATACTTCCATGGAGCCCTAGAACTAAAAAGCCTCACTACCAATTATACTTGGCCATCCGTCGGGCCGGGCCTAACAAAGCCCAAGGCGGAAAACCTAGGCTCAGGTCCGGCTGTCGGGCCTAGTTTTTAGGCCCGAGCTCGTCCCGTCAGTGAAAAGGCCCACCGAGCCTCGGGCCTAGAACGCAAAAAAGTCAAGCCCAGGCCCGACCTGACGTGTGCTTCAGGCTCAAAACTTAGGCCCAGGCCTGGCCCGTGGGCAAGACCGGGTCGGGTCAGGTCGGGCTTTTTTTGGTCGGGCCGGGTATCCCATGGTCAGGTATACTACCAATCCATTTAGTTGTTATACTACAAATTGCCTAAAAAAAGTTGTTATACAAGTGGAACAAGACCTGTAGCTTTTTTGGGACGATGTTCGACATGTACTAGAGCATGTCAGCCGCCGACTCGAAGAGTTGCGTGGATTCCTCCCCGTGGGAGATGTGAAGAGAAATGTAGATGGAGCTCTACCTGAAGGGAACAGTAGAAGCGTAGCTGCTGCTATATTTCAGTTGAGGATGGAAAGTTCTTAGAGTCTTCGGCAATATTAATCATGGGGTCATGGAGCCAACTACTCCATCTATAAAGAAATATAAGAGCATTCAATTGGAACCCCCGCCTCTCCCATGGACTCTGCGGCTCATAGACGCCTCCCTCCCAACCCCGCCTCACATGCCCGCCACTATAGCTTCTCGTCCGCCTCGTCAGCTCCCTTTTCTCCTCAGCACCGGAACATGTAAGGATGAAAATGAGACCATTGCACCATCAGGGAGGTGCATGAGCCACCGCTGGACAGAGGGAGGGGGATGTTCAAGATGCCTTTAGGGCTCATTTGGTTGCTGAGGAAGGAAAACCCAGGGTGGCATACCAGCAGGAGAGATTTTTCCTGTGCTCATGGGATCCCCTCTCACAATAGGGAGATGTTTCGCGATAGTGCCCAATGGGTGCCATTTGGGCGTCATGGGGAAGGGCAGGGAAGTTTGACGAAGCAACCAAATCAGATCAGATATATTACAGGGAGGAAGGAGATCGTGGGTATGAAGCTCCTCGCGTGCAGTCGATTTTAACAAAGAATGCGTCACTGCTGGCAGGAGGGAGCAAACGAGTCCGCAAGCTTCGCTGCTCGAGGGAGGAAGGCGTTGGAGGAGGCGAGGGGATTCGCGAGACAAAGGAAGTGCAATATAAGAGAATGCCCTAGGAACTCATTTTGCATGAACATCTGGTTTCAGTTTTCACCATACTATGTACTAATATACGTTGTTGAAGAATATACACTATGGAAGCAATGTATTATTATCTTTGTTGAAATTTCAAGGTTGAAAGGAATGGATATTTGAACAGAATTGAAGAGAGTTCATTTTGATTGTCCATAGTTTCATAAAAATGTCGGTAGCATTGAGATACATCTTCAGTTGGTATGATCAAGAGTTCACGTTAATCAATGATTGAATATATTGAAGTAACCGCTCTATTAGAATGTCACACATCATTATTTGAACACCGTTTATAGAATGTCAGGACGACGAAGAAGGTGCTAAAGTTTGTAGGGATGTGGTTTGAAACAAAGTAAAAAAAACACACACACACACACACACACACACACATTATATAATTTTTAAATATAAAATGCAGGTGGCTACTTTCTCATCTTTAAAATTTAAACAGCAGAAGCGGACCACCCAGGTGGAGAGGAGAGAGCTCGGCGACCGCCACACCCACACGCGTCAGTGGCATACGCGCCGGGCTTGACAGCGTCCAACCAGTCAGCACCCTCTTTCCTTTCATTCATCATTAACAAATCGCGGGTTGGATTAGCAGCCGGCCCTCGCCGGATTAGTTTACTCGCCGTCGCGGTGGAGATGCCGGGCGACGCCGAGACCATCAGCCAACGGACGATGATGATTAGCTAGTGGGATTAGTTTAATGGAGGCCCGGCCGGCTGCCGCGGCGATGGGAACGGGGGACAGTCGTCCGATGCCGCGACCGCGCCACCCCCGCCCGTATCCGGTCCGGTATCCTCCCTCCCCTCCGTCGTGCCGCTCATATTCTATGTCTGTCTTCTCCCGCCGCTTCACACGCGCCGTTCATCACAACTTGTCCTCACAAATCTTTCCGAGGATAGGATGGGAACAGGATGGGTTCGAATCCAATCCAACACCTGAGACCGGATCGGTCGGCTTGCTCACGGCGTCCCTTTCTTTGTGTCGTCCATGTGCGGAAGGTGCGCTGTATGATTTTTTTTCTTTTTGGCATCTTGGCTCCTTCCTTCGTGCCGTCGTAAACGTTCGTGCACACACACAATGCATGCGGTTGATCCGCCGTACCGTACCCCAGATTAAAAAGGAGAGCGGGTTTGAGCTTGTGGTAGTACACCTGAGGTAGCTACCCGGCCCATCGGTATTACTGTCACACGCTTAGAAATTCCTCTTTTTACAGCGAAACATTTCTAAGCTTTGCTTCTTCTTTCTCTTGAAAAAAGAGGCAGAAATGTTTTGGCCGCCACCCTATCCCCACCCCTCTCACCTCGCCGCTTGCCCTCCTCTCCCGCCGCATAGTTCATGGGTCCCGAGCCTATTGTCCAGCCAGGACCCTTTCCTTCGCGCCGGGTTACTCCAATTGTAAAGGATTTCTTCAGACCAACGCATTGAACATTTTTTTTGCGGGAAAAAATGCTTGTATTACTCATTCATCGGAATATTACAATCATCTCGAACAATGTTCAAAACCTCCGTAGGAGCCAAAGCAATCCAAGTCATGGTCCTACTCTGAAGCCTTCCAAAGGTAGCTAAAGAATCACTAGCCTTGTTCTGGGAACGCAAAATGCGAGTAATACAAGTGAGTCTAAGACTCATGAGGTATTTGATCTCATTGACAAGAGAAGCATAAACTGAATGGTCCGTTTCACTTCCAGTAATCATGGAGATCGCTTCGACTGAATCCATCTCCACCAAGATAGGAGAATCTGTACGCTGGATAGATGCAGACAAGCCCTCCATAACCGCATAAAGCTCCGCTTCCAACGCATCTCTGCAGGAGTATAAAGCCATGCATGCAGAAAATATGATGTCGCCGGCAGAGTTCCTCAATATCATGCCCGCTCCAGCCGCTTCAGATGCGGCAAAAGAGCCGTCAGTATTAAGCTTCACCCAGCCTTGTCTTGGTTTGGTCCATCTCATTTCTGCAGCTGAAGCTCGTGTAGATGTAGGGGCTGGAATAAACTCAATGACAGACTTCCCTTTAACAGGATCAATATGAGTATTCAACTTGATGGTTACCAAAGACTGCAGGTAACTCTCAAGAAATCTGATGGAGGATTCCATTGGTGGTGCTGGTTTAAAATGGACAAGTTCATTACGCACAAACCTGCCCTCCAAAAGATCATTAGTATCGTACACCGTTTGATCTCGGTTAATGGAGCAAGGAATTCCAGCGGCCACTCTTTCCCGACAGGTCTGAGTGACTCAATTTTCGGCAAACACCATTTACTGGCCATAATGATATATAAATCACGCCCTAGTTGGCATCGGGTGAATGGGTGGTAGTTATCCTCCTCTTCAACACCGCACACTGGGCAAAAGCTAGTTACTTCCATACCAAATCGGTGCTTATTTTTCCAAGTTGGGAGAGCATCTGTGGCCATTCGCCAACCGAAGTTCTTAATAGTAGGCGTTGCAACACAGTTCCAAATGAACTTCCAGGAAGATCTGCTCCCTGTTGGCGATGAGCTCGAAGCTACTGAACTATCCCGATTCAGCTCATCAAAGGCTAATTGATAAGCACTCTTTACAGAAAAAACGCCCAACTTCCCAGGACCCCATGCTATAACATCTTCCCCCAATCTTGGTGAAGCCCGGATTTTCAAAATCTCATCCACATCTGATGGAACAAAATATTGTGTGAGAAAGTTCACATTCCATGAACCATTCGGATTCAGCAAATCAGATACAAAACGAATACGACATCTCCCTTGCTGAGAAATAGGTTTATATGAGAACGGTCTGGGAATCCAGTTATCACGCCACACCCTTACACTTTTTCCATTGCCAATCCGCCAGACTAATCCTTTCTTGAGTAGTTCTAGGCCATAGCTGATAGCTTGCCATGAGGAGGATGCATTGCCCGTGAAAACGGTATCTTCTAGCTTGCCAACAAGGTAGTATCTCGCC